CCCTCCCCTAATACACTACTGACTGACCCCACCTCCCCCCAAATGCAATACACAATACAATAGGTCCCCCAAGCCCCTTTATTCTTACCTTTACAACAGCTCAAGGGTGCAGGAGGGAAGAGATGCCGCCGCGCAGCCGCCGGATGTGAGCGGCATATGATGACATGACGTCACATCCGGCGGCTGACAGGAAGTATATGTGCGCTCGCTCAGCAAGCAGCAGCGGCCGGCGCGGATCGCGTGGCCGCATAGACTAACATAGAAAACATTTTTTTTCCTGTCTTGTGGCTGAGTGCAGCCACATCTCAAAGCGGCCCCAGGGCTGGCGGCCTACTGGGAAATTTCCCGGTATCCCGGTAGGCCAGTCCGGCCCTGGAGGGGGAGTAAGGACCAGAGGGAGGGAGGAAGGGGGGGTAAGGACCACCAGGGGAGGGGGGAGTAAGGACCAGAGGTGGAGGGGAGGGGGAGTAAGGACCACTGGGGGAGGAGAAGGAGGGGGTGAGTAAGGACCACTGAAGGTAGAGGGGGGGAGTAAGGGCCACAGGTGGAGGAGAGAGATGGGGCGAGTAAGGACCACTGGGGGAGGAGAGGGATGGGGGTAGTAAGGACCACTGGGGGAGGAGAGGGATGGGGGTAGTAAGGACCACTAGGGGAGGAGGGGGGGAGTAAGGACCACTGGGGGAAGAATGGGGGGAGTAAGAACCACTGGGGGAGGAGAGGGGGAGTAAGAACCACTGGGGAAGGGGGGGTGAAGGAACACAGGGGGACGGGGGGTGGGGAGTAAGGACCACTGAGGGAGGAGGGGGGGTCCACTAAGGGGTTTGGGAGAGGGAGGACCACTAAGGGGGGAAAGGACTACTAAGGGGGGGTGAGGGGAAAGAGGATAATGACCACTGGGGGGGGGATTACCACTAAGGGGGTGGGGGGAGGAGGGGAATGTCTACTAAGGGGTTTGGGAGAGGGAGGGCCACTAAGGGGGAAGGGGGGAGTGAGAAGACCACCAAGGGGGGACTACAGGGGGCCAAGGGAGAGCACTAAGGGACAGAAGGGGAGAACACGGAGGGACAGGAGGGAAGGGGAAATCAATAATTGACAGGGGGGGAGAGCACTATGAAAAAAATAAATAAAAATAAAGAGCAGCTCCCCTCTCAGTCTCTATCCTACCCCACAAACCCTCTCTTTTACACTACACACATACACAATGCATCCCCCCCCACACACACACAGAAACATACAATGCATTCCTACTCAGACACACCCGAAACACACAATGCATCCCTTACGTTCACACAAACACTCATTCTCTTACACACAGAAACAAAATGCATCTCTTACACAATCAATGCACCCCTTACAGACACACACTGCATTCAATTAAATACACAGAAACACACCTTGCACCCCTTACACACACACACACCAGAAACATACAATGCATTCCTTACACGCAAACACACACTGCATCCCCTATAAACACACTACATCCCTTACAGAAATTGGTATCCCTATACACTACATTCTATAAGAACACACACACATTGCATCCTCTACAATAACACATAAAACATCCCCTACACACATACACTCCACTTCCTGTGAGAGAACTCATGGGTGGGTAATGTAGGTGGATTTATGGGTGGGCATTGTAGGCATACTCACGGTCAAGCCCCGGGGGCCCAGACCTTGAGCTGTGTAAGGGGCCCTAAGAAATGGAGCTGCTTCCTGTTCGTTAATTGTTGTGAGCACTGTTAAAAACAGTCTTCTGAGAGCCTCTTCTACACCAGACCTGTGGAGCCAGACAGAGCCCATCATCAGCCTCTTGTCCTCATCTGGTGGTAAGTAGGCAATCCAATATATTATTAGTGGCACTAATCTCTAATTTACCTCACATTAAATGGATACTATAGTCGCCAGAAGCACTACAGCATAATGTAGTGGTTCTGGTGTCTATAGCCTGTGCCTGTAGGCTTTTTAATGTAAACACACTGTCTTTTCAGATAAAAGACACTTTGTGAAGACTGGCGTTGGCCCATATGAAAGAGCATATGGGCGGGGCATTGTGATGTCACATGGTGGGCAGGACATATGGGGGGCTGGCGGCAAATGTGTGTGAGGGTGATGTGTGAGTGTGTTAGGGTGCTGGGTGTGGGTGATGTGTGTGTTTGCAAGGATTGTGTATTGGGGGGAGGAAGGTAAATGCCAATATTGATGTCTTTTTTTTTTTTATTATAAAAATAAATACATTATACCCCCCCTCCCTTCATACCTGTAGCCTGGAAGAGGAGGGGGGTCATGCTGCCGCCATCCATCCCTGGTGGTCCTCGTGGTAAGTGAACTCTAGCCCTTTGCCATGGCAACGGTCCGGATATCGAGAGAGAAACCCGGCGGAGCTGCAAGTTATCGCTCCGCCTGGTCCTCTCTCCAGCCTGGCTGTCTCCCTCCCTTTCTCCCCCGCCGGTGGCCGCATTTGAGAGCATGTGGGCCGGTGAGACCAGCTGGATCTCCCTGGCCTCGGCCCATGGCCATCGCGGCCCACCGGGGCATTTGATGTCTCCTACTGTTATGACCCTTACCATTTGTATTATGAAATTACCTAACCCTACATGGTCCTGTACTCTTAAGGACTCCTTTAGGTGTCGTGAAGTTGACATGGTGATACGGCAACCTCACAAGAACAACGGAGTACAGAGCAGATTCTGCATGTGGAGCATCAGAACGCCATGTGGCATTTGACTTGGAGGTGTTTAGACGCACAGATGCGACTGCCCGAGGTATGATAATGGATATCTGTAGTTAACTCTCTCATTTTTATCACTGGTTACAGCGTAAAGTTTGGAGCCCTGGGATCTGACCTTTTCTGTAAAGCTAATTCCTCACTTCCCTGGAATTAGCAGACTTGAAGATGTCTGCTATCAAAACGTACATGGCTGTGGTCTCTGTGGCCATTTAGGCCCAAATATTTGTGGAAAACCTGTTAAACTGTCTATGAAGAAATTAGCAGCTCTCTCAGCTTTATATACTCATAAACCAGGTCTCAGACATGTTATCTTTCAAGATAAGGTTTCCCGACAATGTAAGAATCATTGGTAGGATTCAGAGATAAATGTATGAAGGTTACCAGTAAGAATGGATTTATGATAGGTTTCTAGCATTATAAAAACCATGTCCTGCATAGTTTTGTGACAAAGTGCATTTAGTTTGTTTTCTCTTTGCACCAGATTCATCACAGTATATACAAAGTATAACAGAGCAAGTAGATGGGAGGTGTGATACTAAGGAAGATATATTAATCTCTTGACTTCTTTTTCCCAAAGAAGGAGTTTTACACTAATATACGGGGACTGGGCTGACTCTGAGACATAATATGTGAAAAACATGCCAACCACCATTATGTTAGATCAGGGATAGTCAACCTTTTTATTTTCATTTTAAGATATTTATTGTTTCTCCAGTAAAGTGGGTCAGGGTACAGAAAGGAAGAAGGGGGTGGGGGGTGGATAACAGGGGTAACATTGACAACATATCATCCATAATACTAACTAGACAGTAGTAAAGACGATCCATTAGACTGTTCAAGGCCTGCCATAGCTTATTTGGCGTCCTACCGTGTACCTTGTCGCTGTCATGATTCTAAGCAGGTCAGAGAGGAGACTTATGCCAGGGTTGACTTCAGGTACTTTATTTGTGATCTTAGACATAGTATGAACAGGATATCCTATAATATAAATTATAGGAGAGAGAGAGAGAGAGAGAAAACAGAACCGAATAATTAAGATTACCGGTAAGAATAACTAGGCTATGAAATAAAAGGGTTTAGACAATCAGCCCAAAGATGAAAATAGGTAACCCTATAAAAGAAGTTATAGGTAAGAGAATGAAGATAAACCTATAATTATAGGAACAAATCTTGAGGGAAAACAGGATTCAGGCAATATGCCCCAGAACAGGGTATAAAGAAACAGGATAACCTATAAGAGAAATTATAGGCTCCAATTAATAGAAGGAACAGAAGAGAAGGTTTAGGCAATATGTTTTAAGCGGGTTATCAGGTAACAGGAGTATAATCAGATAAAACGAAACAGGAACATAAAAGATAAAGTAAAACAAGTTAAAGTAGCAATTGAGGTGATCAGCCGCTTTGGTTTGTAATCAGAGCTGCAGTTTCAGGGTCTTTGAGGATACTTCAAATGATAAGAATGTCTGTAATATCCAGGTAGGTTGGAACCAAATCAATATGAAAACAAAGTCCAGTACAGAGATAAAGTTGGCTCATTTTGGAGATCATGTTGGAATAAATTAGGATGGTTGAAGGTAAGGGTGGAGCAGGTTTTCTTTAGAAGGAGCCAGGAGCAGAAGACATGTCAGGTTTAAAACACAACTTCTCTCAATGTAAAGGCCATGTGATGCGCTGGGTGTAGCCTTTTGTAGCAGATTTGGATTATAATGCTATGCAGGTGAGAGCGACTGAGGTGACTAGTGGCGAGAAACAGATATTGCAGTAATAATACAGAATAAAATAAAACAATATCTTGGTTGTCAGGATAGCATTCTGACAGTCACATTGCAACAACTAGTCCCTTCCATACAGCGCTGCCATTTCACAATCATTTACAGTTGGTTTGGGTTACCCAATACTCCATGTTTCCCTGGTTAGTTTATTGGGGGGGAATGTGGATGTAATTCGCGTTTCGTAATTTTTCTGTACATCGATGTCAGCCTTTAGCTGATGTATGGATGGTATCAAGGTAGTTTTCAATTTCCTCGCTATAAGTTTTCGAGCTGTGAGAATAGTATGCCTTTTTTTTATATGTTGGACTGTTCATATTGCACTGTTAGTTCCTTGTATCTGGTTTTGTCCTTCATATGAGGGGATTCATCCGGATAAAGACAGTGAGGATATTACTCTCGATCAAGCACTTTATTCAATATTTCATCTGATTAAGATGCTTCCAATTGGACTCTTTTTACTGATATTTGAGTATTTTATCCTTTTTTTTGTGCTGTTGTATTCTCTTATATTTGCAAATCGAGAGACTTACCTGGAACCAGCGCTCCAGTTCTTTTTTTTAACAGTTGCGATGGGACAATTATGGATTTTTATTTGGTCTTTTTTGGTGATGAAGAAAGAAAAGAAAGAAGACATCTAATGGTAAGTATGACATTTTATTTTACATGGTGTTAGTTTATTGCCCCCCCCCTCACTATTATTAGGGTAAGGGGGTTAGGCAGGGTATTTTTATTGGGGGGGTGACTATGGGCTTGGGGCCCCTAGTCACTTTATTATTTGTGGTCCCCACCCACCACTTATGGGGACATTAGGTCCCGCCATTATTTATTTAATTAGAGTCCCTACTCGCCGCTCATGGGTGGGGACCAGGGGGGGCATTATTTCAACCCATTATTTATTTAGAGTCCCCACCCGCCACTCATGGGTGGAGGCCGAGGGTGGGGGGGAGACAATAGGTCACACCCCTTTTGTTATTTAGGGCCCCTACCTGCCAATCATAGGTGGAGCACAGGGGGGGACCCTAGGTCTCTGTTCCATTGAATAGCACCCATGGGTGGGGGCACTATATTTTAGAAGATGCACCATCATGGGGGACCTGTGTTACTTGTGGTGGCAGTCCTAGCACTGGGAGCCCCCTGCCCATTAGAGTAATGGGCAGGGGGCTCACAGTGCCAGGAATGCCACCACAACCACATCTATAGGGCTCCCAGTGCCAGGACTGCCACCACAACCACATCTATAGGGCTCCCAATGCCAGGACTGTCACCACAACCACTTACACATCTATAGGGCTCCCAGTACCAGGAATTAGCTTATTAGTCAAGATTCCTGTCATCATTCACCTAATTTTCCCTCCCTCCTGTTTTGCCACTTTTTCTGGCAATTCAGGCCAATGTCATTCGGTTCGGTTCGGCACTTCGGACATTCGTAAGCATCCAAATTGCACTAAATTCTTTGAATGTACATTCGGAACGAAACGAATTGCACATGTCTAAGCATAACTGCTTTTTAATTTTGTTCAAGGGAATGGGAATGCCAGGAAACCTAAACTTTCAATATGGCAGTACAGTGTTGGGAGTACACATTTGTATTGCTAATACCAGAAGTGGAACTATCAGTGGTGCAGCCGGTGTAACCGCACCATGTCACAGGGCCCTTCCCGGTTGTGCCGACACTGCCAGAAATTCTGGCACCTAAAGAGGTAGGGCTGCAGAACGCTCAGTAGGGCAAGAAGGGAGACAGTGCGCACAGCAGGAGGAGAGTTGGACTCCAAGTGAGGGTGAGTCAAGTGCATATGTGTATGTATTTATGGATGTGTGCATGTGTGTGACAGTGTGTGCATCTGTGTGACAGTGTGTGCATCTGTGCATGTGTGTAGATGTGTGTTCATGTGTGTCAGTGTTTATATAAATGTCAGTGTGTGCTCACTGTATCTGTTCAAGTGTGTATCTCTTAGAGTATTTCTATGTGTATGTGTGTGTGCATCTCTGTGTAGCAGTGTATGTGTATATGTGAACATGCACCTGCATGCATACACCAACAACACATATAAATGCACCCATGCGTTCAAACACTGATGCTACTCACAAACGCACACCTTCATTCAAATGCTGACATTACACACAAATGTATCCCAGCATTAAAATGCTAACACTACACAGAACCTCCTCCCTGGCATTCAAATGCTGGGGTTCATTAAACAGAAACACATTCCTGCATTCAAACATCAACACTGTACACAAACAGCTTTGCATGTAAACACCAATACACAAACACACACCTGCATTTTAACTTCAGCTATACACACAAATACACAAACACACCCTATACAAAAACATGCCTACATGCACTGCTCACACATAATTCTGCAGGGATGCGCAAATGGTAGATCTACAGATAACAAAACATTGTCATAGTTGTACTACGGTGGAGATCTACTATTTTTGCCTGAGTGCCAGATCTCGTTCCAAGCTGCCGGCATAATAAATCATCTAACCACTATTCTTAGGTTGTTGTTTGTTCCTAGCAAATTTAAACTTTACAGATTACATTCTGTTTGTGCTGTGTACCCCCTCACAAATATTTCTATTGAGAAAGAAATGCCATAGAAGACTGTAAAAATTGTAACCTTACATCAGGCATCTCAAACTCCCCACATGTTGCTGAATTAGAGCTTCCGTGGTTTTTCGAACCATCTATTGCAAAATTCAAAGAGTTTTAGAGGTTCTGGGCCTGCTAGGCAGAGTTTGTAATTCCTGTCTTAGAAAAAATGTACATCTTTTCACCATTCTGTCAAACCATTGCGATCTAGAATTCACAGATGGATCACCTACAGGAGTATTTGTTTCACTGGATTTTCATTCCACTTTATTTTTCATCCATACTTTAAAAACAAATCGCAAAAAATTTACTGGAGTATCAGCAGTAAACTGTGTAATAGATTATTTTATAAGCATTTCAATTAACTGGAGCATAAGGACTAGTAAATATTGCGGAACCCCTGGTATACTTCAATAACAGGATGCCTCGATGCTGCCAGCGAATGCTTAGAATAATATGAATTGCGATCAAATTCCATGTGTTTATGACCAGCTTGGAGAGAAACCACATCCAGAATAAGTGGGTCACTGAGTGATTAGTACAGCAGATTAGGGTGTGATGGTTGTTAAAGGTTTCTATTTAGAACCAAAAAATAAAATAGACAGAAAAAGGAAAGCCTGAATTATTCAGATCATGCAATAAATAAATTTTATAAAAATATACTGCAAATCCAAAGTAAATAATCATGAATTCAGGAGTATATCTATATATAATGAATTATATCCTGAATTTATTTATAAAACATAAAATGATATAGAGTAAACCACTCGCTCTAAATATCCATTAAATTCTTTGAAGCTACTATACCATACACAAAGGTGCATTACAGAAGAAAACGTCTTTAGTTAACCAGGCTATCTTTAAACAAGACATATCAGTCTGTGCTAGACAAGACAAATTACATACGTGCAATTTATTGTACCCGTTATTGAACTTTTGTCATTACAGGGAACATGTTTGAAAAAGACATTAATCTAAACACAGCATTAAAGCATTATCTTCAGCCTCCCCACCCCCTCTCTCTTAAACACCCTTCTCAGTTTCAGACCAATCCACGAATAACAGCATCATTGTGCAGCAACAAGAGTGAAAAACACAACCCAAAGCCTGCTCTGCATGATCACACTGATGAGACTTCCTCATGTAACCCTTTGTCAGGATGTTGCAAGGTGAAAAGATCTTCCAACTTAATATGTGTAAGCCTGTCAGGCATGCCCAGTGCACTTTTCCAGCATTCCTAGGAATAGGACACTGATTGGTTAGATCACTATCCTTTCTGTAGTGGGTGTGGAAAGTATACGCAAGAAGAAGCAGGTAGACACAAAAAAAATGAAAACAGTTCCCTTCTTTTGTTTCTGTCAGGATTCCTTAGAGAACCAACAAGCAGGATGTAATAGAAGAACATGTACCGGGCCTTAGAATGGCCGGACTTAACGCTAGACAGATAAAGAACAGTCGGGGACAAGCCAAGGTCGAGGGAACCAGAAATAACAGTAGCGAGATACAAAAGGCGGGTCAGGAATACAGAAATGAGAATGGTCAAAAAAGCCGAGGTCAAAATACAACGTAAACAGAAAAGCAAAGCATTATAGGGAAATGTAAATAGAACCACAACAGGGCAAAGAACTATGGTTGAGTTTGCCTTTTATAGGCTGGATCTTTAAATTTGAAGCCAAGCCCCAAAAACATCCAAGTTTAAATGTTTTGGCGGGCCGTGACGTAATTTGCGTCAAGACGCCGGCATGCGCACGCAGTGGTGACATCATAAAAGGGAGCTAAAGTGGCTGGCGATCGAACTGCTGGAGGGAAGCATAGGAGTGTGGAGAGGTTCCCTCTTCGTCTGCAAGCGGTCACCAACCAAGGTAAGCATGACAGTTTTAGCCTGCAGAGTTAGGCATCTGATTCATTCAAAGCTAAAGCTTTTGAATAAGACAATTGTCTCAAAGTGTCCCCTTAATGTACAACTACCATAACAAATATACAACCACTAAAATGTAGATCCCTGGATTGGTACCTTTGACTCAGACCCCAACTCAGTTTATAGAACCACTAACTCATTTTATTTTATAATTATCTTCTGTTTTCCAAATTACTGTGTATGTGTCACAGCTCTCACCGTGCCATCCAGACGGCCAGGCGTGGTCTCCCCACAGGTGCCAGACATTGGATACTGCCTCTGAGCCACAGCAGATCCTTTACTTTTTAGTAGTTCTAGCCTTGTTATACCTGGCTATGTCTGCAGCACTAGGGGGCTGGACTTCTTCTGTGGCTATTGCCTGTGCTTCACCTGAGGCAGAGCGCTTATCAGCTGGGTATAAAACACTGACCCTCCTTGAGAACATTGTTAGTTCTTTGATTCTGGTTAACATGTGTAGTTCTTGCTTTCTAGTCTCCTGAGCTTGTTATCCAGATTGACCCCAGCGTCTGACTTCGGCTACTCCTCGTTTATCCTGACCTCTGGCATCCTCTGACTTCGGCTACACATTGACTATCCTTCTGCTTGTGACCTTGTCTGTACTGTGCATTGGAGCACCTTTCCTACACAGCCCCCATGCACAGATTCCCAGTCCAGGTGGCTTCTTACCTGGTCAGCTTGGACTGTGTTTATCTGCATGGGTGAGCGAACATCTCTGCACTGACGGTGACCTCTCCTCCCCCGCCGACGTCAGCTCCCAACTATTTAATAGTCACCAAAAACAGACCCAGCCTAGGCCCAAAAGTATTTTGGGGGTTGTCTTATCAGGGGAATATAGGCTGAAACCTATATTGCAGGTCTAAATTTTTTAGGCCAACTTTTCTGCTGGCATATACATGACCAGTGTATAGTCGCCATATGGGCAGTCAGACTCCAGGACAACTCCCCCACATACCTAACCCAATAACGCACTGACACTCGGGTATATGGGAAAATTTGTCCACAGCTTTATTAAACAATCTAGTGTAATAATTTTATTAATTATAATAATAATAATAATCATAATAATAACTTAACAAATAAACATGGGTCATTGCCCCCCCATACTCCGCCCTCACATCCGAATCCTTCTGTTAATATAAAAGGCAATGACCCCCATATAAATAACACATATATAACATATACCAACATTATTCCAACATACCAACTTAAAATGCCAAACATAAATTAACCATTGCAGGGGTATACTCGGCTACCCCTACCCCACCAGGTTCTGAGCCACGACAGGACTCAAAACCTACCAACCACAAATGACCACAGTTTTCTGTTTCTATCACGTTCATCCTAGGGAGCCTATTTCTTCTCCTTCATTTCCCTATCCCACCGCTGTGAAAAAATAGGATAACCCCCACCAGAAACAAAATTCAGGGAGGGTGGGCGGGAAACTCGGTCAGGTAGGAAATTAGAAGTGAATTCACTTAAAATGGCTGCCTATTTAAATATCCCAGCCCACTTACCCATAACTCCATTACTTATTTTCCTCCTCCTATGCCCGCCTCCTAACTCCTGTCAAGGCCCTTCTTCGCTTAGCTGCGCTTTGGCTACATGGGGTTACAGTACATTTAGTCAAAGTCGCTACATTTTTAGCAACTCCGACTGCAGTAACCTAACAATTGCTTCTGATTCCACGATTCCAACTTCACAGCACTGGAATTTTTCCATTTCAGCTATCTTAAATTTGAAGTTCACTTTAAATTCACTTTGAATACTCAATCAGTTCTTCAGTGAATAACGCTTAACCCTTGCAAATTTAAAATTAATTTAAAGTGAATCTCAATTTTTTTGGTCTGTAATGGAAAACATGCAAAGATATGTTTTCAATTTAATTCTTTTGAGCTAATATTTTAAATTCACTATAAATGAACACATGCTTATTCACTAAAGTGAGAATTGTTGGGCATTTGTATAAATGTACGGCCAAAGAAACTAAACTGGGAAAGTTCTCTAAGTCAGCTACGATTACAGTTCGGCTACTTTCGCCTTCACTTTGAAATTCACTCTATATTTACCTTGAATTCCTGACAGTTCGGGAGATTGAAATATTTTAATGAAAATGACAATTGAGAAGTTAAAACTGTAAAATATTATTTTAAATTTTTTAATAAAATGTTTACAAAGCAGCTATTTTAACCTTACTTTCACTATTTAAATTTAATTCAGTAAAATTTGGAATTTAGTGAATAACTGTGCTACAGTTCAATTGGTTGTGGGGGGAAACATAATCGCATTGGATACTTGATATATTGTATATGATGTTTGGCGATGCAGAAGGAAGGTACTGTTTAGACAAATTTGCTTCCTGATGACATAGGAGCTGATCTATGTGCACAATATGTGAGTTGACATGACAAAAATAATAAGTACGTACATAATACCTTGGCCTATTTCTAAACTTTCAAAGTGATCCCAAACTATACTCTGCTTACTGTTCTTCTACTCATGGGCACGTTACTGTGCAGTAACGCCAATACTCATGCTAATGCTGTTGGAAATGGTAATAGTGTCAGTGTGGTCGCTAGTGGCATTGGTCACTACTCTGGTTAGCGGTTGTACTGGTGGTAGTGATGGTCCTATCTTGTAAGAGAAGGATTTGCTGGAGGTGACTGGGAACTAACTTGAGAGGAAAATCAGCAGCTTCCGATTTTCTTCTGAATCTCCTCCACTATTTCTTCTGGTTAATAATTATGATTCTCGTTGCTAAACTAAAAACGATTCATCCCCTATACAAGACATTGGGGACTCGTCAATTTCCTGCCTGCTCCTCACTTATTTGTTCCCTTTCCTGTTACTTCTGATCCTGGCATTCTGATGCTGCTGATGCTATTTATTCTTGTGTTCTAGTGGTGATAGTAGTACTGCGACTGTTATTCTGTGACTGCTTGGAGTGGGCTCTGTGTGTTGTTGGCTGCATCTGACATTTGAAACAGTACACAGTAAACCGGTCTAGAAAACACAATTATGCTTTCCATATAGACTGTTAGTGGCCAGGCCCGGACTGGCCATGGGGCACATCGGGCAAATGCCCGGTGGGCTGCTATATCCATTGGCCGAGGCCGGCAGGGGAGGTCACAGGATCTCCCCGGCCGGTCCATGCAGGGCCGGCACTATCCGAACGCCGGCCCCGCTGTTTTCCATGATGGGCCGGTGGGGAGATCAAAGATCTCCCTCATCGGCCCACATGCAGTGTGATGCGGCCGCTGGCTGGGGAGGGAGACAGGAGAAGAACCCGGAGGAGCTCTATCTTGCAGCTCTGCCAGGTTCTTCTCATGAGATCCGGAGTGTTGCCATGGCCCCAAAGGCTAGAGTTCACTCACCACTAGCACCACCAGGGATGCATGGCAGCACGGTCCCCCCTCCCAGGCTAAAGGTAAGAAGAGTGTAAGAAGGGGGATACAATCAATGCCTTTTAATTTATTTTTTAAAATTAATATATTTTAATAATCTGCCCCACCCCCCTCCCCCAAGACACAAGCCCTCCAAACATATTCATGCATCAGCACCCACACACACACTGACCCCTGACACTCACACCACCCTCCACTCACACACATACACTACACCCCTGACACTCACAGCACCCTCACTTACACACACACACACACACACACACAATGTCCTCCCCCTGGCCCCACTCCTGGGGTGGGGGCCCTAGATAAAAAATAACATCCCTTCCCCAGGTGACTAAGGGTCCCCAAAGCCTAGTCACCCCTCCCCAAAAAAGCTAACCCCTACCTAGCCCCCTCACCCTAAAAATAATGAGGGGGACCAATAATTAAGAACCTGTAAAAATAAATAAAAATCCCCCCAAAAAACAACTTACCATTTGATGGTTTCTTTCTTCTAAAATATTCTTTTTCAGCAAAATAAGGCCAAAAGGCCAAATAATAAATCCATAATAACTGATGCACTTAAAAAAAGAGTGCAAAAAGAAAAAATCCATCTTCACCCAGCGAGGGCTCCGTGCAGACTGAGCTCTGCAGGGCAGGGGAAGGCTTATAAAACCTTGCCCCGCCCTGCAATTAGGCTCAGAGCATTCTGATTGATGGGTTTAAGCCATCCAATCAGAGTGCTCTGACAGGTAAATAAAGAGACTGACAGGTAAGTGTCTACATTTACCTGTCACAGCACTCTGATTGGTTGGCTTGAAATCCACCAATCAGAGTGCTCTGTGTCATTTTACACAGCGTGGGAAAGTTCTTTGGAATTTTCCCACGCTGTGTAATTTGACTCATAACCCTCTGATTGATTACTTAATCCAAATGTTTTTTTAAGTGCGTCGGTTATTGTGGATGTTTTATTTGGCCTTTTTTGGGGCTAAAATGAGAAGATTTTAGAAGAAAGAAAACATCAAATGGTAAGTTTTTCTTTTCTTTTTACAGGTACTTAGTTAATGGTCCCCCCTCATTATTTTTAGGGAGAGGGGGGTAGGTAGGGGTTAGTTTTTTTAAGGGGGGGGGTGACTAGGGGTTTGGGGACCCCTAGTCACCAGGGGGAGGGGGAGGTTAGTTTTTTATTTAGGGCCCCCACCCACCACTCAGGGGTGGGGGCCAGGAGGGAGTACATAAGGTCCCCCCCTTAATAGTATTTAGGGCCCCCACCCACTGCTCAGGGGTGGAGGCAAGGGGAGAGGACATTAGGTCCCCCCCCCCTTATTCTAATTTAGGGCCCCCACCCACCGTTCAGGGGTGGGGGCCAGGGGGGAGGACATTAGGTCCCCCTCCTTATTAGTATTTAGGGCCCCCACCCACCGCTCAGGGCTGAGGGCCAGGGGGGAGGACATAAGGTTCCACCCCATTATTAGTATTTAGGGCCCCCACCCACCGTTCAGGGGTGGGGGCCAGGGGGAGGACATTAGGTCCTCCTCCATTCTAATTTAGGGCCCCCACCCACCGTTCAGGGGTGGGGGCCAGGACATTATGTCCCTCCCTTATTCTAATTTAGGGCCCCCACCCACCACTCAGGGGTGGGGGCCAGGACATTATGTCCCTCCCTTATTCTAATTTAGGGCCCCCACCCACCACTCAGGGGTGGGGGCCAGGGGTGAGGACATTAGGTCCACCCCCTTATTAGTATTTAGGGCCCCCACCCACCGCTCAGGGGTGGGGGCAGGACAATAGGTCCCCCCATCATTTTACTTTAGGGCCCCCTCCCACCACTCAGGGGTGGGGGCCAGGGGGGAGGACATTAGGTCCCCCCCTTATTCTAAATTATTGTCCCCATCCGCCGCTCAGGGGTGGGGGCCAGGGGGGAGGACATTAGGTCCCCCCCTAATTGGTATTTAGGGCCCCCACCCACCGCTCAGAGGTGGGGGCCAGGGGGGAGGACATTAGCCCCCCCCCTTACTATAATTTAGGGCCCCCACCCGCCGGCTCAGAGGTGGGGGCCGGGGTGAGGACAATAGGTCCTTTTTAAAAATAAATAAAAAAATTTTTAAAGTGAGCAACCATAGGCTGCTCACTGTTTACTAAACATGCCCCTACTCGTGGTGTAGCGAGTAGGGTCATAATTTACTAATACTAAGTAATCTTTACTTATAATGATTTGTACTGGTACACCTAGTGTGTTTCCCAAAAATGAGGGAGTAGGACTAGTATTAGGTTGCTCAAAATTGGCGCAAATAGGGATCCACTAAAACCTATTAAGGAATAACCAGAAAAAAGACACCAAAGGTGTCTAAGAATACCAGGAGCTCGCCTAAAATGTGGCTAAAAAAAGGCTAAAATATCTATAAAGGAGTAATACTAATAGGGGTGCTGTACCTTTTTACTGTAAGTAATCTTCATGTAGCTTGTAACTGTGGCCGACTCTGGCCAGGAGGGTATATAAGAAAAAGGTCCTGAGCTTAGGCTGAAAGCGTAATGAAACATGTACTTCAGTTAAGGGGCAACTTGACACATTCAAATGTGGCTTGTGGAGGGGTTAACAACTAGACTAATGTGCAAGCCAAATGCTTACGGAGGCCAGAGGGATGCTGTACCTTTAAGAGAAAATTTTATAACAGAATAAGAACAATATGAATATAAGTGAATCCAAAATAGTGAAATAGTGAAAGGTGAATGAATTAAAAAAAATCATGAAATAAAAATAAAAAATGGAAATAAGTATCAAAAGAAAAATCCTCAATAAATAATGGAACATACAGGAGTTAAAAATGGGAAATGGTAAAAAAGTGCAAAAAAAGAAAAAAGGGAGATAAAGTAATAAAAAATAATAAAATGATAAAAATAATAATAAAATACAAAAAAAAAATGAAAAAATTAGGTAAATCTGGAACAAAAATGTGCAGTACAAGTGACTTAATTACTGCTATGAAGCAGAATGTCTGGCACCTGTACCAGATACTATATGATATACTTAGTATCTAGTTGGATACAAATAGAAACATGTATCATATTATAGTGATACAGTATAAGGAACTGCAGGCTAAAATGTTGTTATACACTAAAATCAGTAATAGATAACAAGCACTGGTTCTCAAACTGGTTGGAAATATGAGCCAGTTTATTAGGACAAATAGTAATAAAAATATAAAATGCAAATAAGATTAAAAATTAGAAAATGCACATCAGGAAAAGTTCATATCATTATTACCAGATGGTATGTTGTCAGACCTAAACAGAAACCTTCGGTACAGATGAGGATGGATATGGATTGAAATCTTAGCCGTTTATGGTATTTCCGCTGGAGAGGACAGCGTGTGAATTCACCAAGCGTCCCTGCGGGAGCCTCACTCTGGAGGGACGTGTGCTGTGAGCAGCTTCGTAGCGATACACAAACCAATAGGTCCTGAAAGGATGCTGACTGTGGGTGACGTATGTCTGGTAGAACTGAGTCCTGATGTGTGTCCTTACAGTCTTACGCGTTTCGTAGGTGTGCCCCTACTTCTTCAGAGACGGATAGAGATTCAATGCTGTAGTGGTGCTTCATATACATATTCCGCTAAATAGTCAATATAATTACTTAACTATCTGAATACAGATTTAGCATAATGCAGATAATTAAACAGCATAATGTGCAAACGGTAAAGCAATAGAGATATATGTATTAAAAAAGGATATATATACAAAACAAGTTGTGTATACAGAGTATAATTGTACAATAAAACACATATATATTAAAACACATATATATTAAAAGATATATTATCAGTTAGTGATGGTGTCAATTATTACAAAAAGTTGTATTTAAATATAAAGTGGGATCAGAGAATTCATAAGAGCTTTCATATAAACAGGATATGGAAATATAGGATGCCTTTTGAAGATGCACAATTCTATTAAAAATAATAATAAACAAAATACTGGTAAAAGAGAAGAGGGACAAGAAAAAAAACAGGATTAATTGGAATACAATTAAATATGATGTAATACCTAGAGATCACATCATCTAGCCAGAATATATATATATATATATATATATATATATATATATATATATATATATATATATATATATATATATATATAAAAAAAAGATATATATATATATATATATATATATATATATATATATATATATATAAAGAACATATATATTAAGAGTATATAAAAACTATATAAAATATAAAAAAATATGTAAATGAATTGTCACAAAAATACATACAGGTATATATTAGATATATATATATATATATATATATATATATATATATATATATATATATTAAAATAATTAAAAAGGTAATCCTGAAAGAGTATGTATTGGAGCTACATTTTACAATCTTTACTTAGTATTAGTAAATTTGACTGAAAGATCAATTTAGGTCTTTCAGCCTTTTAGTAGATAGCTCCCTAATACCGTGGGAATTAGGGAGTTATCTACTTATTCATTCCTGTCATTACATTGACTGGCTAAGTAACTTACATTTTATATGAATGTATATTACTTGATTGTTGTAAATGTTGCAAATGCTTACAGCTGAATCCTGGCTATGTTTGTATACTTTTTATTTAGAATTGTATACAGTGTAACATTCTTCATTCTTCCACTGGGTAAGTATATTAGTTCTTAGGCAATACTGTGCTTCGGAACTTCGGCACTTCGACACTTCAGAAATTCGGTGATTTTGGAACTTCGGGACTTCAACAATTCGGCAATTCATCTATTCGGACATTCGGAAGTACTCGAAAGGTCCAAATTGCCCGAAATTCGTCCGAATCCACATTCGGACCGAAACGAATTGCACATGTCTATCACCTATTATAGAGCTAGTACATACTCAAGTATGACTTGCATTCAGTGGCGTTGATCCCCCACTGGTAGGATATAGGTGATGGTATATTTTGGGAGGTTCCTCAGGGTAGAGATGTACCGGCAAGGGAGAAACATAAGGCAGAAATAGTGCTCTCTGTATAATTAAAAAAATTTAAATATATATATATAATTAAAGGTCTTGTACTCACATTTAAGTGAGCAAGAAATACTGCTCATTTCTATAGGCGTAGGTGGTATAACTAAGAATTCTCGAAGATCTACTCGCTAGAGAATCCCAGGTGGGGATTATACCACCTACGCCCATAGAAGTGATCAGTATTTCATGCTCACTTAAATGTGAGTATAAGACCTTTAATAATATATTTAAAATATATATATACATATATATATATATACAGAGAGCACTATTTCTGCCTTATCTTTCTCCCTTGCCTAATAACTATACGATTGTATACAATTCTTTTCTTTGATGGTTTTTGAGGGACCCTTATACTTGAATATATATTCTAGGTGGCCACTAAGCGCTAATCCATCCATTGTTTGTATACCTGTTAGTGGCCGTGGTATAGTGGAAGATGCAGATGTGGTTGTTGACATTGCAGTGGTGGGTAGCACTCATGTACCTGATATAACTTACCGTGTTTTATTCTTTGTGATATGGGATAATTGCCCGAAGATCTTCTATAATTATGACAGTATTCGAAGGTTACAGAAATAGGCCAGTGTATATATAGAGTGGCACTAACAATTTTATTTTTTATTTTGAGACTTTTTGAGACTGGTTTTATGTACTGTTCAAATTAACTGTACTAGTAAAATAAATAAGTATATCTTATGGCGGTGATTGGAATAGGTCTATATCTTCTTCTATAAATGGCTTCCCAAGTGCATTATGTTATGCTTTAACTTTTACTGTTTTAATGGTTAGTTAAAGGGACACTATAGTCACCAGAACAACAACAGCTTATTGTATTTGTTCTGGTGAGTATAATCATACTCTTCAGGCTTTTTGCAGTAAACACTGTCTTTTCAGAGAAAATGCAGTGTTTACATTACAACCTAGGGATAACTCCACTGGCCACTCCTCAGATGGCTGCTAGAGGTGCTTCCTCAGAGAATCACTTCTGATGATGTCAGGCATGCAGGCAGATTAGGGGCAGAGTTAGCAGCTGCAGAGTTGAACACAAGTAAGATTTTACTATATGTAGGGAGGCAAGGAGGTACCAGGGGGGCAAGATGGTGGTTTTAACACTGTAGGGCAGGGCTGGACTGGCCCACCGGGATACCAGGAAATTTACCGGTGGGCTGTGACATCTAGGGGCTGCGCATATAGGTGCCACCAGTGGCACACTCAGAGGGGGCCGGCCGCGTTCCAGGCAGGAGTCACCAGGCCGCATGGCAGCCTCGCCGGTCCGGTGGATCTCCTGTCACTGATGCTGAGGGCTGAAGGAGGAGGGAGCATGTCCATCTACCATGCTCCCTTGCGGTTCCCACAATTCCCAGCACAGTAAGCTGTATCAGTATGCTGTGCTGGAAATTGTGGGAACCGCGAGGGACCATGGTAGATAGACATGCTCCCTCCCTCCTTCCGTCCTCAGCATCAGTGACAGGAGTGCCGCCAGACCGGCGAGGCTGCCACCCGGCCCGGCGGCTCCAGCCTGGAATGCAGCCGGCCCCCTGACTTCTCTCAGTAAATGGAGGATATATAGACATAGGGAAAGAGAAAGAGACAGGGAGAGTGACACAGGGAAAAGAGGGAGAAAGATGGAGAGAGAGAGTGATACAGGGAAAAGAGGAAGACAGAGACGGGGAGAGAGAGTGACACAGGGAAAAAAGGGAGAAAGAGACAGAGGGGGAGAGAGAGTGACACAGGGAAAAGAGGAAGAAAGAGACAGGGAAAAGAGGGAGAAAGAGACAGGGGGAGAGAGAGTGACACAGGAAAAGAGGGAGAAAGAGACAGAGGGGGAAGAGTGAGACACAGGGGGAGAAAGAGGGTGAATAGAGAGATGGTGGAGGGAGGAGAAAGAGACAGAGGGGAAGAGAGACAGGGTAAGGGAGGAGAAAGAGACAGGGGAAGAGAGATGTGGAGGAGGGAAAGACACAGGGAAAGGGGGGAGGAAAAGAGATATGGAGGAGGAAGAGACACAGGAAAAGGGGGGACAAAGACAGAGGGGAAGAGAGAGACAAAAAGGGAGAAAGGAGAGAGACATACAAGGGGAGGGGGAGAAAGAGGCAGAGGAGGAAGAGAGAGACTGGGAAGGAGAGGGGAGACATTGACACAGAGAAGCAGTGAGGGGGAGAAAGAAACATACAGAGGGACAGGGGGAGACAAAAAGACACACAGAGGGGCTGGAGATAAAAAGAGACACACATAGGGGCTGTATATATCACTGGTGGATGGGGGAGCAACGAGGCAATTCCCCCACGAGGCTCTCCCCTGCCAGTCGATGTCCCCTTCCTCCCCAGCAGCCGGCAGGGGAGGGAGGAAGAGAGGACCCAGGAGCTCAGCATGGAGCTCCTCTGGGTCCTTCTCATGCGAGCACAGAGTGTTGCCACGGTTACCATGGCATCACTCCAGCTCTCACGAGGGTGAACTCTAGCCCTGGAGCTACGGGCTAGAGTTCACTCTCATCACTGCGACCACCAGGGATTCCTGGTGGTCACAGTAGTGAGAGTGAACTCTAGCCCCATACACACACTGCCCCCACAAACACACACCATACACATTCACACACTGCCCCCACACACACACCATACACATTCACACACTGCCCCACCATACACACATTGCCCCACACGCTACACATTCACACACTACACCCCCCCCACACACACACTGAACCTTTCACACACACTGCACCCCTCACACATTGCACCACTGCTCCTATACCCTACTACAGCCCCATATCCCAGCATTAGAATTATGCCTATTATACTTACACATATTAATGTACATTTATATATGCATAATACACAGAGAAATGTCATCAATATGTACCATATGTAATAAGCAGATATTGGCCCAGTCTTGTTGCTAGGTGCATACTCCAGCACAATAACATATTTAAAGTGAAGAACGCACCCACAGGACTTCAAAATATTTTTTTTTACCGTTGTGCCCTACATACATTCACCATTTCAGTCCCATTACCAAGCTTTCCTTAATATGTCAAGGTAGTTGGATTGAAACATTGATTACATGCAAAGGCACATCTGCTTAAAATAAATCTGCACTTTTGTTTATTTTGAAGCCTATGAGTGCTCTTTTTACATTGGAGTAATAATTTTTAATTTTAAGTTATCTTTTCTAACTCTGTATCTGCACACTATGCTGGCGCGACGCATTATGGGGCTGGTAAATATTTTTTTTCCAGGGCTACTTTTAATTCCCAGTCCGGCCTTGCTGTAAGGTCAGGAATACATGTTTGTGTTCCTAATCCTATAGTGCTCCTTTAACATTAGATCTAACCATAACTAGCTACTTTCACACTAGCTAACCACATGGCTAGTAAACTAAATACATTTTGTTCACAGGGTGTCTTCGTTGTGTGCTTTTGTTGGGTACTTTGTCTGAATCAATAATGAAAGAATTGCACGATTGCAAATCGTCAAATCTAGTTTATAGCGGATACAATTACATGATGGCATTATATAATTTCACAATCATTTTTCGTTTAGCTCTTTTTTTTTTCTTTTGGGTTTAGTTATTTTTTTCATTTTTTTTTTTCATTGTTTTCTATTCAGATATCACTTTATATGCTGCTGTGTGATGTATATCTGGAGTCTTAGTCAATAAAATACTTCGTGCTGCTACAATAAAAAAAAGAATCTTGCATTGTAGTTAAATGTTGCATTTAAATAAATGAAAAGTAACAATTACCGAAACAGCTTGGGGAATAAATGTTAATTGTGAAGTGCAATCTCAGTGCCAAAGCTTCTAGCAGTGCAGGTGGTAATAGAATGCCAACTTGTCCTTTTCATGGTGGCAGAGGGGTGGGTAGGAGGGGAAGGCAGCTGTCTCATATAGGTTACTATTTGCTGATTTACAGAGGCATCTCTGCGTAGAAAACTGCGCCCACACAAATCAACCGTAAGCCAATGCATGAGTCATACAGTATGTTAGGACTATTCTGGGAATCTGTTCCAAACCAAGTCTCCTCATATGAAGAATCCAAATCAGATGCAAATTTATTTTAGAACATGTATATTGCTTTTATTCTTAAGATACATTGGCAACATATATTAAAATTTATAGGAATATACAAATGCAATCTAATTACATACAATATAATTATAGTTCTCAGTTCAAACAATGGGTCTATTTACAAAACTGGGAGTTTAATTTTTTTACAATTTGTCCAGTTTAGCCTAAAATTTGCAATTTACTTGACAATTCTACTAAATTCCCAAGTTTGATAATTAAACCACAATGTTTATTGTTTGAAAATAAAATGAACCCATTGGAAGCTGCAAAATGTAAAAAATAAGGTATAATCAGAAATGCATTTTTAACATTAAAAAAATAAAGATATATATATTTATATATATGGGAAGGCGGAGCTGGAGTTTTGGCCTATATGTACTCAAACCTACCTGTATACTGGGCTGACATCGGCTGGTCACTTCCGCTTCTGGTTTCCTGAGGACAGTCTCCCTCATGGTCTACCTCCTTCGGGTTTACCAGGATTCCTTCCAAGCTCCTAGCGCTTCCTCGACCCAGTCAAACACTCCCGCTGGTCCGCAACTGCTCGTCACCCTCACCGCCGCGTTCCCGGTACCTCTGCCGCACTTCCGGGTGAGCTGTCAGGCAACCGGAAACAGTGAGTAAAAGACTTACACGTGACATGTCCTAAACGCACAAACCACATCAACTCATAGGAACGCCTTTCGAATTACGTACGGCTATACTCACTTAAACGTCTAGTTATACAAACGACCAAACGAAACGAACGTGAAACTGCACAAAATACTCTTACACAAAACGGCTTATTTCACGAATTAAAACATACGAACGCACTAAATTTACCAAACGGGCAACCCATGCGCCCATACAAACTCACAGGAAACTAGATTTCACACGAACGGGAAACCACACCCATGAACTAAGATATGAACCTTCCTCCCCCAGCACATACACCATTCATTAAAACAAATGTATCCACTTACTCTCACCAAAACAAAACGAACAGATCCAGGCCAGCTAAATTCAAACGAACGATCAGTCAAACCTGCACAACACCGCCACCTAATGTTCAAATGGCCAAATGATACCTAAAAAAAAATTTTTTCTCTCACATGGCCAGATTAGATTACAGGTTTAAGGGGGGCCTGGCAGCCAAGATGGCCAGACGTGCTTGGTGATAGCTCTGGCACAATCAGGCACAAAAGCACACGTTTCATGCTCAAAAAATACTGCTAATTGCTTAACACAACTTGTGCCCTACCAACATCGATCAGGAACATGGGGATACGTGTGTGGACCCAAGAATCAAAAGTGGCCACGGCGACCGACACTGAGGCCTACCATGAATAGCAGTCCAGGCCCTGGGAGAGGAGGCCAATCTCCCGGTACGGGACATTCTCCATTCAACTATTCCCCTGCAGCCCGCGACCCCCCCTTTGGACCGGTGGGGGTTATCCCGGTCCCCCCTGGGGAAACATGCTTCTCAGCAATGGCAGGATCCTCCACAGAATAACCAACCACATGGCTAGCCCAAGATGGCCGCTGCAACAAAGCACTCTCAGCACCAGGAGAGCCCCACAATCGCAGTGTGGAGGGAGAGCTTTGAAGCTCGATTCGACAGGCTCTGTAGGGAGTTCTGGGAGTGCATATATGGCAGACCTCACTCCATAACCCCACAAGTAACCCAAGCTGCGGTACAGGATCACCAATCACACCTCGGAGGGGAGACCCTTCTGGAGGATCTTGCGACCAGACACCCGCGTGCTCAGCAAGCTGCCCGACCTCTGGTGCTCCCTCGAACCCGAGACCCAGCAAGGAGGAACAGGAGCAACACGGGACAAGCAGAGAGAGCACCCACTGCTGTCCGGGCTACTAAAAGTAGTGATCCATGTTACAGCGACCTACTAGCAGCGTACACACAGAAGACCTGTCACTTCCCACAGAGAGGCCTGGAGACAAGCCACGACACCGTTTCTGGCAAATTGAAGGACTGTATGCAGTGGCCCGTATGTGGAGTAGGATAAATCTACGACAACAAGAGCCCACTCATTTTCAGACAATCCTGTCTGCAATGCGGAGGACTATGTATCTCTACTCACTATAAGTACCCAGTGGCAATACAAACCAGGGGTTCCTATCCTCTGAATTCCTCATGTTGTTATTTACTGTTTATTACTGTGATATTTAAGCTTACAATTTAAACTGTTTTTCTCCCCCTATATAAAAAAACAAAGTGCAATGCTTTTGACACCATAATACTACTGTTAACACATGCGTAAAAATCGACTTGCACCAGCTGTTGTGGCAGTGCAACTCTGCTTGTTTAATATCTGCACGCATAAAATAAAGAATAAAAAAATAAAAAAATTACAGGTTTAAATGTACTGTACACAGGATATTAATACTGGTTTCCCCCCATTGGTGTTCCTATATATTAAAGAGTTGCTGGTTATACGTGTTTACAATTTAACCTATAAAACTGCTAACAAGTAGTTAATAAGCAGGATGTACTTAGTCTGTCAGTGATACTCCCTACACACTGTAACAGAGTAGTAGGATTAACCGAGTTGTTCTGTTACTATGAGGATTCTGGGGTAACGAGCAGAAATTCAATGCATTATATAAACTATGCTTACATGGCATTATGTATTCCAGAATACAGAACAATACTCCCCTGAATTACTTCTTGTCATTGCGAAAGAAAATTTATGATACAATTCCAGTCACAACTTATTTTTCAGTCCCTATTCAAACCAACACGCTCGCGTCTGCCTAAATTCATGGGGAATAACTCCTCAATCCGGTACGGAGCCAGGGGACTTGTTAAGAAAGACAAGACTATGGCACTCGCTCAGTTCCCTCATACCTAAACGTGACTGGGCCCACACTCCCAACAAGCTAAGTCAGCCTTGATTACGGCAATTCACAATGGCACGATGGGTCTCATATTTTTACACTATAATTCAATTTCATAGAAACAAGCCAGTTATGTAGTTTACTTCAATAATATTGATTCCATATATAACTTATAATAGGCCGCCAATTTACTCTAGCTTATTTACTCTGGCTAATTTCCTTAAGTGGTATCTCCTTAGTCCCTAATTTTTCATGTAGTATGATCATGCTGCGGGATCATATCTATTTAATATCACCCTGGGACATGCACAAACACACGGAATTCTGAATGCTTACAATACCATTCATCACAGAGAACTGATCACATTTATGTCTTACAATTTACCAAAGACTAAGTCTACGCCAGTAGGAGGAGTACCGACTATATATCCATGTTACATCAAGTTAGTTGTCATTGGAAGAAGTACTCATTGCTACTTATACCATACGGGGAGATTTACCAGCTTAAATATTGTATCTTCCAGCTTAAACCGTTCAGGTGAACTTTTTCATTAATTACGGGTGCAATACAGGCAACAGTTCTGATCATCCTTCTGTCACAATAATATTATGTTTCAAACGTCAGGTGATGTCAAACTCACATGAGGCAAGTTCTAAGTACATCGACTACCAATCAAACACGTCTACATAATCAATACAAATGCAAGTCAGGGCAAGCCATTAACATGTATACTAAATACTCACTGCACCTACACTTCGACCGCCACATATTAATTCAAACCTTTGTCAATTGCTAAGGACTGACCGCCGCACGCCGGACCCTCACAAGGTCCTCCATGAGAATTCAATCATACGTAACGCAATTTTAATGACAGAGTTATAACAAGTTACTTTACGTGTCAAGCTATCCATCGGAATATTGACTGTTATGCTGTTTTGGTTTAGAAGTGTTACATATGTAGGCATCTTAGGACACAGTATATTTGCGATCCAAAGCCTAACATTTATAACGTTTTATCATACCGACTCATACAATCTGTAAGTCGAACCACAATCGGACACTCCTCTTCACTTTCAGCTTGTATAGTGCACTTTTTCCCTTCTGATAACTGCATTTCCCTTCTAAATTCTTTTGGGCCATAGCACATTCGGTAGTGTCATCAGGTTCCTTTTCCAGTCCTTCTCTTTCCAATTCTATCCAGGTTGTTCACGCACACATGATTACCTTTACCAAAATTCTAAGAGGCCAACTTCCCACCTCTACACAAAGGTTTCACATGTCATGGCCACTCGTATTGACTCTTTTACAGCCACCGAGAGGCCAACAACCCGCTACAACGTATTGTAGCCACTAGCCCACACAACCAAAATCATAGGTAGAGTCTCTCACCGCCACTTGGCAACTAGCAGGGCCTCACCAGTCACTACGTAGTTAATATTTTCGCTTATCGGCACTAGTAAGCAACCCAGCTCTACTAAAGGCATATTATTCAATTCGCATCAAACTTTGCATAAGTCACTCATCATAAATTCCCTTACAAGAGCTCTGGACACTCCAACCCTGTCATCCCAGGTCCCCAGTGGAAGCCTCTGTCCCTGACACCTCCAAGGCCTTGGACCTTGCTTAAGTTTGACGGTTGAGCTTAAAGTGCGGAGGCCACGGCTGAAAGACTACATATACCCCGAACAAGCTGTTCATGCCCTAGAGCGGCATATGCCAGTAGTCCAGTTAACTCACTATTATAATCAGTCGATGTCAGTCAGCCATAGCATAATTTCACCATACAAAATCATAGTAGTGCCCCATATGGCCAGGTGTCGCAACAAACTGGATTAAAGTATCATCATTCTCAAAATCAGGAATATACACTCGGTTAAACAACGTTAATCTTAACTGGTACAAACGTTGTTTTAATTATATTGTTACATAATGGTCATTGGCGTTGCTTACTTCCAATACATTTGGAGCAGGTCAAAACAATGCCGTAATTATCAACACAAGTTACGTTCCAAGTAAACACTCTAATCTTAGCTTATCATTAACATCGTTTTTATTACCTTCAATTTCTGTCTTCTCCAACTTCATTACTCCCTTATCCGCCTCCGTGCTAAACAAATTAATGTTAGACCAACACGGGCCCACGTATCAGGTAACTACCTGCCAACTATACGATCTAGCTATAGGCTCCCATTTCACATACAATATATAGGTTATCATTATTAGAATCTTTATGTATGTTATAAGGCCGTATTGGGTTTATCTCGTAATATGCTGTTAAATGTATATATGACACCGGATTAGTGTTAGTCATTTACCCTCATTCCACGTAAGAAGGCCTTCACAACATCTACGCTTATCTCGACAGATTAGGTTCTATAGTTCAGATATCACTCTACACTGTCACACCTATCAGGCACGCAAAACCCATTAGTTTTGGGACCTCAAGAGACGTGACACTTTATACACGACCCACGCATAGTCCACCCTAGCTAGACATTCTATCATTTCGATCAATTCACGCTTTCACGCTAACTTACGTTCTTTCTCGATGTTTTCGGTCCATAGGAAATCGACTTCTCTCACGCGGGCCGCTATACTGGTATAGAAGTACCCCACTTGTTCTCCCTAAGAGACTTTGACTTGGCCACCACATCTCTTACAATCAGGAGTCTCGTCAGGAGACCCACAGGGTCAGCAGCAACACAACACTGTCACTCGTATCATGAACACGTACTGGGCAACCACAACACAGCAGCTGACGCCCTCTCTCATTCTGACCACAACAGCACATTTAGGGTTTCAGCAATCGCTGGCAACAAATGGTTCAGAGAGAAAAGGCCTATAGAAACTACAACTCTGCCATCGTCTAACAGTACTTTGGCCCTGTTTGAAATATACCCAATAGTGGCAGCAATAACACCATAAAACCATTGCACGGGCGTTATTGTCATACTCGAGACACTTCGCTGAACACGAATATGAGTTTGTCAAAACAGCAAAATTTATCACAATGATGACATCACCAGGAAAAAATTGCAGTTTCATTTAAAAAAATACTAAACAATATGAACAATAACTTTGGCCAGCGTTCATGACTAAGTGGCTATTACAGAGAAAACCATAAAATGCCTCACTGACAAACACAGCAGCGTGCAATATCATTAACAAAGGCAGGTCTTCTTCCCTGACAATAATGAGTCTAGTTAGAAGGCTCACATGGTAAGCAGTAACACAACATTTCCACCTGATCCGTGAACACATACCAGGCAAACACAACACAGCAACCGACGCCCTTTCTCGTTGCAATCTACAAGGTTTCTATCAAGAACATCCTTCAGCCAAGTAAATCCCAAACAGATCACTGCTATTCCAGGAACTCATCCTGGAGTAACAACACTAATGGCACACGGGAGAATGCTGGCACAAACAGCACTATCAGCAAACACTAGACGTTCATACAATCGAGAACTCACTTTATTTAACAGATTTACAACAGAATATCAAATACAAAACCTGTTCACGTTAGATACTATGGTGGCTGTTACCTCTTTTTGCCACCTAAATCGAAAACTTGCACACAATACCATAAAACTTTATCTAACAGGCATACAATACCATGTCACTAACACATACCCCAGCCACAGTAACTTCCTATCATCGAAATAATTAAAACATCTTAGAAGGCCCCAAAACTACAAAACGACAACCGATAGATGGAGAAAGGTTCAGAGCCTGAAAACATTAAACTCACAACCTCTCGTAACAGAAACTACCATGTTTATGAATGGGTTAAGCTGCTATGTTTATGAATGGGTTAAGCTTTCCCCTATTTCCTCTAGTGGCTGTCTCATTGACAGCCACTAGAGGCGCTTGTGTGCTTCTCACTGTGATTTTCACAGTGAGAGCATGCCAGCGTCCATAGGAAAGCATTGTAAATGCTTTCCTATGCGACCGGCTGAATGCGCGCGCAGCTCTTGCCGTGCGTGCGCATTCAGCCAACGGGGCGGAACGGAGGAGGAGAGAAGGAGGAGAGCTCCCCGCCCAGCGCTGGAAAAAGGTAAGTTTAAACCCCTTTCCCCCTTCCAGAGCTGGGCGGGAGTGGGACCCTGAGGGTGGGGGCACCCTCAGGGCACTATAATGCCAGGAAAACGAGTATGTTTTCCTGGCACTATAGTGGTCCTTTAAACTCCCTCACTGTGTTAACTTCTACCACTTCAGCTGGAAGGCTATTCTATGCGTCCACTACCCTCTCTGTATAGTAACACATCCTGAAATTATTTTTTTAATTTTTTTTCCTTCTAACCTAAAACTATGTCCTCTAGTTGTGGCAGTTTTTCTTTTTATTTCTTTTAAAAGTGTGCATCAAAAAAATGGTTTTACTTTCAATCAGATGTAAGTTACCTTAAACGTTTCTATCTCTTCCTCTGTAAATTGAACTTTAATTACATACAGGAGGCTCCTGTAGGGTCTAACAAGCTATTAACAGAGAAGGAGATAAGAAATTAAATGGAATTTGCAATAATGGAAGTGTAAACATTAGATATCTCTTTACAGGAAATGTCTACAAATGCTGTGTAGATCACATGCAAGGAGGTGTGGCTAGGACTGCATAAACAAAGTGATCTAACTTCTAAACGTCAGAGAATTGAGCAGTGAAACTTTAGATGCATGATCTATACACCATAACTGCTTAATTAAGCTAAAGTTGTTTTGATGACTATAGTGTCCATTTAATCTAGCCGCCACCTCTGAAATGGTTGTTGGAGTGTCTCTGTACCAGACTTGTTCTCTGTTGGCAGAAAAGGTAATTTTAATAAGAATCATTTTTGTTCATGATTAGTAAGTCCTTGCATTTGACATTATACCAAAAGGCCCAGAGACCTAAATCAAATGGCCTCTGGGATATCCTAGATTATAAAAGGGTGAGTGTTGTGCACAACCATGTTCTCGGTGCCCCACGGTCAGAAGAGTTTCACAGGTCTGGTATACCACCAAAAGAGAGTTTTACATGTTTGTGCTTGTAAAACTTAAGATGCTGCCTTCCATATGTTCTCCTACTCCACTCCCTCCCAAGTTCCACTCAGATCCCCCTCCCACGTCTTCATATGTCAGTAAACTAAACCCCACACTAAATCATACTTTGCTGTCTTTAATATTGGACCAGTGAGTTACGTTAGAACTGAGGAAATGTGTGAAGAAAGGATACCTCAAAAGTTCAGACACCCCTAAGGCTGGCCCTGGATGTTGCTCTCCACACCTCAGTAGTGTTGGCATAATTTATGATTAGCAGTATTTAATTCTCTGCATGACTCCTCACTGCCACCTCACATATATACTCACACACTCTGCATCACACTACACACACACAAACACACACTCTGCATCCACTGCACACACCACATCCACTTTTACACACTGCATCAACAACACAAGTACACTACACTCACTACACACACTCTGCATCCACTCTACACAGTACACACACACTGCATTCTTGGGGGCAGGCACTATTGGCAGATTTGGGGGTGGTCTATGTGGGCAGACTGAAGAGTGGGCACCCGTGGGGTCCAGACCTTGAGCTGTGTAAAATTTCTGATTGCAGCCTTGCCAATAACACAATATCTAACCACTATAACACAGATTATTACCATAAAATTCCCTGTCTGCTTCGGGGGTTATTTGTCATGATTAGCCAGAGTCGATTTGAAACTCTCTCCACCAAAAGCAATACATGACATAAGCACTGGGGTGGCATTTGTCACCAGCGCAACATCCAAACATTGACTACCAGTTGAAATGTTCACTATTGCAGTTCAACTTTATGCTTCCATAGGTGGTCCCCTGCCGATATCTTCAGTCAGCACCTATAAAAAGGAAGGTAGGTTATGTTTTATCTGGATGAGAGGCAAATATAGTTAAAA